AGAAATTACTGAAACTCGAAGCGTGAGCGAGCCCTTAACCAATAAAACCGTATCTGAGATTTTCACCTTGCTTCACATTTCCCCATCGTTAATTCTTCCTCTACTCCACATAATTCATATCGAAAGCTAATTTCATATTCCACTGTTCCTTTCCATAAATTCTACCCACTTAGACGAAGCTCGTATTCCGCGAAGATTAAAAAAGAAGATCGACACCAATTCCAACCTACACCGCTTAATCAATCAACTCTATTCTCAGCTCCGAATACGAAACTCGTTTTGCAAAGCGGGGGTAGGGGGAGGAAACTTCCGATCATTTATTAAATCCTGTCGAAAACTTCTCCTCTCAAACACCTGTACCTAATGTTGCAACTTTTCGAATCACGATGATATCAATACGATACCGAACTATATTCGTAACACCATCCAGCTGAAAGTTCCTTCCCTCCCTTCCTCGCCCTGAATGGGATTTCGTTACTTTCGATCCGTGTTTATTAAAATTTTCAAGCGAACGAGGAATTTCACGCGCGAATCGTTACGAAAATATTTGAGACTCACGGGCCGCCGTAACGAGCATCGCTAGAGAGAGAGAGAGAGAAGGAGTGAGAGGGAGAGACAGGGAAGGAGCGACAGAGAAGGAGAGTGAGTGAGTGAATCAGAGAGAGAGAGAGAGGGAGCGAGGAAAGGTAAAGGGGAAAAGAGGAAGCGAGACACAGGTAGAGAATCGCGAGGAAGAGCGCACAGGTGAGAAGGAGAGGACAAAGAGAACACGAACGTCGAAGGGGGGCCGTGAGGCGGTTGTTGGAGGGGGCTTGTGACCAAGAGGAAGGAGGGACGAGCCAGGAGGAAGTCAACGTCCGAAGATTACGGCAATGACATTCGCTTTTTCTCACTCTGCCTCCTCGTGTTCCTCTTCGGCCTCGCCGTGTCTTTTTCCTTTCGCGATCTTTTCCTCTCTTTCGAGTTCGCCGCTCTCTCGACGTTCTCCTTTCTCTCTCTCTCTCTCTCTCTCTCTCACCTGAGTTTGTATCGCTCGCGGAAAACATCTCGGGGAAAAATAAAATTAAAGTACACTTTAATATTCACCTGATGGATCCGATCGATAGATCATCGACGAGGAACCCACTTATCCTCTCGAGAGTTCCTAACGACACGGAAAGTACGTAGTGCTGGGAATGTCTTTATCCGTGAGAAATGAAGATCGAGCGGAATTGGAGTAACGTTACTATCGTGCATGCTCGAATTTTTTCCGTTCGATTTGGGTGTAAATGTTTCAGGTGAAAAATCTTTTGTACGTTAAATCGGTGGAATCTTTATTCGTAAATCGTTAGAAACTCGTTCAGTCGGGATTATCTCACATAGTGAATTCTTCGATTCAACTCTCCTAATTAGCTTGATTTATATAGTAGAACGTGTTAATGAATAATTAAATAGGATCTCGGAGAAATTACTGAAACTCGAAGCGTGAGCGAGCCCTTAACCAATAAAACCGTATCTGAGATTTTCACCTTGCTTCACATTTCCCCATCGTTAATTCTTCCTCTACTCCACATAATTCATATCGAAAGCTAATTTCATATTCCACTGTTCCTTTCCATAAATTCTACCCACTTAGACGAAGCTCGTATTCCGCGAAGATTAAAAAAGAAGATCGACACCAATTCCAACCTACACCGCTTAATCAATCAACTCTATTCTCAGCTCCGAATACGAAACTCGTTTTGCAAAGCGGGGGTAGGGGGAGGAAACTTCCGATCATTTATTAAATCCTGTCGAAAACTTCTCCTCTCAAACACCTGTACCTAATGTTGCAACTTTTCGAATCACGATGATATCAATACGATACCGAACTATATTCGTAACACCATCCAGCTGAAAGTTCCTTCCCTCCCTTCCTCGCCCTGAATGGGATTTCGTTACTTTCGATCCGTGTTTATTAAAATTTTCAAGCGAACGAGGAATTTCACGCGCGAATCGTTACGAAAATATTTGAGACTCACGGGCCGCCGTAACGAGCATCGCTAGGGAGAGAGAGAGAGAAGGAGTGAGAGGGAGAGACAGGGAAGGAGCGACAGAGAAGGAGAGTGAGTGAGTGAATCAGAGAGAGAGAGAGAGGGAGCGAGGAAAGGTAAAGGGGAAAAGAGGAAGCGAGACACAGGTAGAGAATCGCGAGGAAGAGCGCACAGGTGAGAAGGAGAGGACAAAGAGAACACGAACGTCGAAGGGGGGCCGTGAGGCGGTTGTTGGAGGGGGCTTGTGACCAAGAGGAAGGAGGGACGAGCCAGGAGGAAGTCAACGTCCGAAGATTACGGCAATGACATTCGCTTTTTCTCACTCTGCCTCCTCGTGTTCCTCTTCGGCCTCGCCGTGTCTTTTTCCTTTCGCGATCTTTTCCTCTCTTTCGAGTTCGCCGCTCTCTCGACGTTCTCCTTTCTCTCTCTCTCTCTCTCTCTCTCTCACCTGAGTTTGTATCGCTCGCGGAAAACATCTCGGGGAAAAATAAAATTAAAGTACACTTTAATATTCACCTGATGGATCCGATCGATAGATCATCGACGAGGAACCCACTTATCCTCTCGAGAGTTCCTAACGACACGGAAAGTACGTAGTGCTGGGAATGTCTTTATCCGTGAGAAATGAAGATCGAGCGGAATTGGAGTAACGTTACTATCGTGCATGCTCGAATTTTTTCCGTTCGATTTATTTGCGTTATCACAGAAAGAGTGGAAAACGAAAGGAGCGTTTCCTTTTGTTATTTGTCGCGTTCGTTACTTTTTTCACCCCTTAGTTTCTGATTTTCGTTTCGTTTTGATTTGTCTTTTCAGCGATGGATCACGTGAAAAGCCAGGGGACCTCAGATCCACTGAAAATCGGCGGAAAAGGCCGTGCTTGCGTTACCCGAAAAAAGTTTTCCCCATAGGTTGGGGTAGATAAAACTGAGAGGGAAAACTGAACGGATAAACCGATAACAGAGAACAGGAGAAAAAAAAAAGAACAAACTGACAAGAAAACAAAGATAGACACACAGAGGAAAAAGCAGCGAATGATCTCTCGATCTCGAGGAAAAAAAATAATGGGTTGAACCCTCTGCGCCGTTTTTATTTTCAAGCGGAAACTCCGAAGACAGACAAACAGAGAAAGGGGGAGAGAGAGAGAGAGAGAAAGAGAGAGGGAAAGACAGAAGAATCTGAAGGAAAAGCAGGAAAGGGAAGACAACGATGCCGATGAGAACATGCTCCCTCACGAAGGCGATATCGCACGTCTTCTCAAACAATGCTGAACCCTTTCGAAGATCGCGATCCCACGGATTTTCGCAGGCCCGAGGCGAGATAGCTAACGAGAAGGGTGCCACCTCTTGCTTCGAAGTTGTGACACGGTGTCAGTGAAGTGCGGATTTTTTTTTCTACCTTTCATCTCTCTTCTTTTTCCTCGTCGTTCGCGTAATCGCAGGTGCTTCGTGCTTCGCAGTTGTTCGCCCCTTCTGAACAAGGATCGTGCAAAGAAAGAAAAAAGCAGAGTATCCCGATACACCTCTTCTTTCAATTAATCCATCGAATAATTTACAACACAGCTATCTTCTCTACAAAACTCCTTCTATCGTATTCGTATTCCGTACGAAACAAACAAAACGTGTCGTTCTTTCTCACTCTTCTTTTTTCATAACCCCTTGCTTTTTCCTCCTCCTCCCTCCCCTCTTCAACTTCATTAGTTTCCCTCGGTTCAGACTACGACTAGACCATCATCGATCGTCTGGCTCGGTCACGTCCAAGAGTAGCCTGTTGCTCAATCGAGCCGCGTTAAAGAGAAGAGTTACCGCGAACTACGTATCGGAGAACGAAGAGTGTTTGCTAGATGCGTTTCTTTCTATCAGAGACCTAAACAGAGGATCTTGTTCGACCGATGAGATTCGTTTCACATTCGACGTATACACACACACACACGCGCGCGCGAAGCCGTGTGATAAAGATCGAGAGGAGAAAAAAAAAAAAGGGAATAGAAACGTGTCACGGTGAGCGTAATAAAGCATCCGCGTGTAATCGTATCAGATTGAATAATAGGCTGCTCAAGGCTACCGAAAAGCATTGCCCCCGGCTGGCAGGCCGCGTCTGGAGAATAAGGAGAATCGCGCGACACACGGCAGCAACTGCCTAATGTCTCGACGCGCGTTCGAGTAGTCGCTTTGAAGGCGAACAGAGAGATTAACAGATAAAACGTGGCCTGGCCCAGCGAGACGTGCCAAAATTGCTCGTCCCTCGGCCGTGGACAGTTTCATTGAGAATCCGCCGTGAGTGTAACGGCCAGTGACCTCGATATCACAACCCGCTACGCGCTCTCCTCCAGGAGGGAATGCTTTCACGAAACTGTATCGTCGCGAAATTCCTCGTCGTCGATGTTCCCAAAATCGTGCGTTGATTCGCGGACAAACAGAATGTGCACGTGGATCGTTCGTGCGTAAAAAGTTTCTGTCAGTGACCGAGGAGGACGAATCAAGTTGATATAAGTGAGTAGTAAAGGTGGGACCGACTTGTCGAGGAAGATAAGACGGATCTAGGGATCGTTAGTTAGCGTGGATTGTGAGAAAATTAGTAGAAGGTGTATTTGTGCCGCTTGGTGAACTGCTCGATCAGAGTCGAGTTTGAAATTTCGCGAGATCTCGTTTCGAGTCTGTTCTGGTGACCTGCAACGAAGCATCAAGATCGATGGATTTGTAGATCATCGGTGGTGACAGGATAGCAATCCTCCAGTCAACTCGATTCGTTTGACGATACTTACGTGTATCTCTTTGGAAAGAAAAGAGGGGAGAAAGAAATTGTAAAGAGACACGTAAGAAATATACAGAGGGAAGGTTTGATCAAGGTGGAATTTAGAGAGGGAGAGAGAGAGAGAGAGTGATGAGAATCGTGATCACATAGTGGAGAGGCGAGTACGCGAATGGTGACCACAATTGGTACAGAGGTGCGCGAACGCCGACATCATCATCACCATTTCCTCTTCGTACAATGGACGTTTTCAAAATCGACCAGTCGCTGAGCGCGGGTCTGGGTAGCGCCCCGGCGCCAGACACCCTTACGCCGGAAGTGTCGTTCGACGCTGGTAGTGAGTTCAATCTGAGCTTCTTCGACGGCCCGGAGGAGAACAGCACACAGGGTTTCAGCGATCCCGGTTCCGTGGGTAGCGCCAGCGCATCGCCTCCGCCTGGAACACCGGCCAGCATCCCGGTAAACCCTTCGAACGCCGCCCTACCGATTGTCCAAGTACCCCCTGGCATCGTCATTAAGCAAGGTTTGTCTTTCATTTATGTTTCTTTTCCGTTTTACCGCGAACGCGTCACTTTTTCACCGATTTCTTTTCTTTTAGATATCGTACGGATTTTTCGAATTTTGTGATCTTTTTTCGTTCTGTTTTATCGGTATTAGCGGTTTGAGGAAGTTTTTAAAAGTACGATATGCAGGAAATATGGAGAATGTAGGTATGAAATATGTGGTAATTGTGCAGTTTTAACGGGGATCGGAAAATTTGGATGATTCTGTTTCGCCGATATGTATTGTAACATACGTAACTGCTGGTCAAACATTTGGGACGATTTGCCAGTTTATATCAATATTGAATGTCCTACTAATTCTTGGTAGATTTGGCACTGATATTGGGGAGATCTACGGCCGATTTCGTATCGATTGATCTGAGCGATAAGAAATTTTTCGAAAAATTATCGAAGCTACTAAGTTTTATCTGAAAACTTTTGTGTAAGAAATTATAATAAAGAATAATCGTTGTGTCCAAATTACCAAGCGACAATCGATGATTTTCATTGGGAAAAGTAAGCTGTCGTTAGGCACGCAATTAAAATTCGTAATCGTGACAAAAAAATTATTAAGTGACGATTAATGAATTTTATCGGGAAAAGTAAGTTTAAAACGTGAAAATGATTTTTCTACTTAAGTCACGTGATATTAATGACATTTTGCAATCTCATCCGGGAGCATTAAAATTTATGAAATTTTTAACACTCTTCAAAACATTTATTTCTTCCAAAACGGTCAAATTTGAAAAATATTTTTCGTCCGCAATCGTTAGCTCAAAAACTCATGTGACATAAAAATGTCTTGGTTAAATAAACCAAGCAAAAATTAATTACCGTCTATTAATATCACTCCAAACAGGATTTTCTCTTCCCGAGTGTAATTACTTTTAATCACTTCCCCGGTAGAATGATCGGCAACATTTTTTGCCAGGGTTGGCTCTGTCAACTATTGTATAATTTTCCTTGAACGGTGCGGCATAAGTTGAGTAGAGGAAATATTGTTCAGAGGATGATGTTTTGCAAGGCGCGTATCTCGCGTGTCTTTGTTACGATTTCTCGCGCGGTTCGGTAACGCCGCGTGGATATGGCTGTTACGGGGTGAAAAAAGCACCGCGTCGCTCGCGTACCTGGCATTTCATTACGGAACCGAGGAAAGTTGTAATTGATTGATTCAATTTTACGGTCCACGGTTGGACGTGTAAAAACCACGGCGATATTGTACGCCAGCCTTGCGGCCGATTTAGATGTTATTGTTGAGAGCAGGTTGGACGTATGGGTGTTTAAAAAACGATTTGTGCCGCGGCACGTGTGTAGAATTTTATCGGAAAAAATCCGTATTCCCAGGATTCTGTTTTTCGGAGAATTTTTTCATGTTGGAATATTTTGTGATATTCTGGATTTATGTGTCGTGGGTTTACTGGGAAAACGCAGTAACAGGGGAAGTTACTCGGATGGTAAATGAATTTTGAAAAAATAATAGTAGGAAACTGTACTTGATAGGATTTGGCTTCTTAGGAAGTGAAATGAATTTTCCACTCGCCTGGAAAATTTAGTATTAAAGTATCAAAGCCTGTCGTAAGCAGCTCTCGTTTTTTTTTTTGTTTAATTTTTTGGATACGTAAATTTTCCAGAAACTGAATTTAAAGTTTTCTAATAAAAATAAACGAGTCAATTTAGCGCATAAATTCTGTATTTCTTAGATTATGACTTAGTGTGTGTTACCTGTACGTAAAGAGGCAATTTCTATATCTATTCATCACGAAGTAAAAAGGGACATTTTTGATCCAATTTTGATAAAATTTTGCAGACAGCTAGAGAATCCGAAAATATTAGACACGTATTTTTTTAAAAATTCTAACATATTCCTGAGATGTCCCTTATTACTGTATTTCATAACCATAAAAAAAAAAAAAACACTTTACATCACAGTAGAGAGAAAAACGTAACACAAATTCACCTGTTCGTTCATTTGAAACGTTGCTTAGCGATAGCAACGGCAAACGGGGAACAGGTAGAAAAAGCTCTGTTCGAAACGTTCCGTGAAAAGTGGAGGTTCGAGGCCAGGTTGAAACTCCTCTCGACGTTTGGCCCACGTGAAACTTTCAATTGTTCTAATGATATCGTTTTCCACTCTGCAATTCTGATACCCGGCGTGTTTATCCGTCGCTTCCATCGTGTTTCGCTCATCGAGGCCTCCTCCTCGTAAAAGGTTACGATACAAATTGGAAAGGTCGCCGAGCGTTTTGCAATATTCGCAATTGGTTTCGCGGCGAGCACAATGCCTATCGGGCATACATATATATGTATATACACACAATATAAATCCACGGAGTTTGCAGCTACTACACCATCCGCCAGGCCTGCCGATTTCTCTTTCAATTGAGTTTTCTTCCAGCGTTCCCATTGTCTGGAGGAAATATCGGATCGAAAACTGGTTTCTTACGATCCTCCTTGTGAATCCAGCCCAACCCCCTCTGTCTCTCCCCCTTCTTTCTCTATTTGCAAAGAGAACGGAGGGCTGACATTTCACTCTCTCGCGAAACCAAAGGTGCACGCTTCAGACACACACGTTTTCATCTTAGGGTCTCTGTCTCTCTTTCTCCGTGTCTGTGTGTGTCGTACAGATATGGTTTTGCTTCTTCTTCGTTTTGGGGAAATGTAAAAGTTGTATCGAATAGATGAATAGGAGAGAAGGTCTGTTTAGACAGATTGTTGAAGTTTTCAGTGTGTTGTTGGGGAATTGAAAGTGACAGTAAGGTTCGATACGAATTGATTTTCAATCGGATACGAATTGAATTTCAACGGGCTGGTATGAAAGTGCGAACTGCAAAATCGACGTGAAATATTTTCAGGAAATAATGCGTTTGCCTTAGAGTTCGTGAGCAATTCAAATTTTGTTGCGTGTCATCGGAGGGTAAGACAACCGGAGGAGCGAAGGCAGACAGGCTTTAAAGGCAGGTAAAGTTTCTGACAACCGATGAGATGACACTTTGGAGGGACTGTAGGGGGAACGTGTTTCAACTGTTTCGTGACGATCCAAAATTGAACCATTCGAAGTTTCTTGTTTTAAAACTAAAATTGCTGGGGAGGACATGCGACGAAGGCATGCTAGAAATTTTAAGGTTCGCAGATAATTCTTAACCCGTTTAACCCCATGGGTGACAATTCGTCTCTGAAAAGATATAGCTCTTAGATATTGACAATTTTTAAGTATACCAAAAAGTGTGGTGTCTGAAAATTAATATAGCAGAGTGTATCTTGTGAAAATTTCAAGTGAATCGAATGAAAATTGCAAAAGTTACGAACAACAAATTCTTCAAATATGTGATTCGGAGAAAAACGCGATTAAAGTCTCCAATGCCGCAAAATCATCCAAGTTTCGCATCAAATTTTCAAAAGCACAAACTATCAATTTAATTTGATTTTCTCACGTCGAGGGTGGTCCAACCCCTTTAACAGACAAAGGCAACAGAATTTTTGTAGATCTCGTACGTCGTAGAATCGACCCGAGAGTCTAGAACTCTCCTAGCTCCGGGAAGAACCACTTTTCCCTCGGCCATGAGAGGCGTCGAGGACCACGTTGGAGGCCATCGTTTAAATTATACATTCGTCTAAAAGGACCGCGGCGGCGTCGATCTGATTCGACGGTTCCCGAAAATCCAACTTTGAATTTCAATTCTCGAAGCGGTCAAGGTCTACACATCGACATATTCTATGCAGGACTATCCGTATGCTCTTCCCCTTTCGAGGGAGAGACGACGCGTTAATACGCCTCGCCACTCTTCACAAGTTCGATCTCGTCGCGTGAAATTCCTTCCGCCGTCGCACTCTTGTCACACGGCTGTCGATAAGGTTTTTTCACGCGAGGAAAACAAGACGGGTGAATATTTCCCGAACTGACATCCGCAGGGTCCAAGGGAATTCTCGCGAAAAAGCACGAGAAGAGAGAGGGAGAGCTACACACAATTTACCACCGCGGCTTCACATCCATCCGTGTAATTCACTCGCCTCACCGTTCCTCCGGCTGCTTTTTCTACCTTTGAAACTTTGTAAGAAAGTTCCGCCACGCTCTTTCGAACAATGAACTTTCTGCCTTTCGGCCTGCCCGACAATTCGCTTAATCATCCCGCGGATTCATCGGCCCTGGCTGGCGATCCTCTTTTTTAAATCGTTGCCAGTTTCTCTCAGGTAGAAGAGGAGGTATTTCGAGGTTTGCTGCAATTCAAACGCGGTCACGGTTCTCGTATACGTTCGTGTTTCAAGGAGAGCTGTTGATATCAACCCTTTTGCACTCCTGTTGAGATTTCGACGTTTCCCTCTCGTCGACAAATTGTGGAAAAATTTGGGATTTTTGGAATTTTTGATTTTTGTGAAATTCGCGGGAAATTTTGGATTTTTGGAATTTTGGATTTTTGTGAAATTCGTGAAAAATGTAGGGTTGCTTTTTCAAGGAGAAAATGAAACATCGGATTTTTGCAAATTTTATCAAATTTCACGTGTTAGAGTTTTTTCAAGTGTGAGTTGCCGTAACGAGGTATTTGATTCTATCATTTACACGTTAATTTATTTGCAAATTTATCAAACTTTTTTATAGTTTTTTTAAAGTATACCAGCACAATTGGCATTCCTAGTGAATAGAATTAACTTTTATCCATTTTGTAGATATTTCTTGCTCTGTCTAACGATAGAAAGATTCTACAAGCTAAATGATTCATCGATAAAAAAAACGCATTTTACAAGATAAATCACCCAATAATATGAATGATATGCAAATTTTGATAGAACATGTTTCGACGAAAAAGAAATGCATTAGGTCATCCCATAAGTTCGCGTCGAATTTTCCAACGGACCTTTAAATTTGATAAGAAAAAGGTTTTCCAATTTTTTTTGGTAAGACCATTATATTGTCGCTGTGAAATTTCCTTGCATTTTCATTAAAATATTTTTCTTACGAAATGACCTAGTAGCTCGTACAAAAGGT